GCTTGGGTGGGGACAGAAGATGAGCCCAGGCTGAGAGAGAGGCATGGGGGGGGCCTGTCCACAGCGGTGACACTGGCAAAGAGTCCAGAAGGATGAGACGCTCTTGGTGAAAAGGGGAGGGTCCAGCCCAGGGGCAGTGGGCACAGAGGTTGGAGGGCCGGGGGCTGCAGTCACGGGCAAGGAGGGAGCGACGACTGGAGGGTGTGGCCCGCCCTGGACTTGCCCCTGGAGGTTTCGAGCAGGCGAGCAGCAGGGTCTAGCTGATGCTCGGAGTTGGTCGTGTGCAGGAGGTGAGAAGTATGTGGTGGGGCCGAGTGGGGGCCAAGAGGCCAGGGGGACCCGCCGCAATCATCCGAGCCCCGGACGGTGGCCAGAGAGCTGCCCAGAAGGGGAGGATTTGAGAGAGGTTCGGAGAGACCCAGATCAGTGGAGGGGCAGCCGTGAAGGGAGAGGAGTAACCAGAGAGAGGCCGCTACAACCTGGGGTGTCCAGGAGGATGGTGGGGAGGCGTGTGCAGGAAGTTGGGCTGGGCACCTGGCCCCCAAGGAGGCAGGAGTTGGGGGTTCATCTGAGTAGAGTGGTGCTTACATCCAGGGCGAGTGATGCACCTCCCAAAGAGGCGATGTGGACAGAGGGGGGAAGAGGCCAGCCTGCACAGAGATGGCCGCATCAGTGGTCCCACTGGGGGACCCGGAGGCAGGAAGAAATGGAGACAGCAGGGAAAGTGGTCATGTAGCTGGTGATGCCGAAGGAAGGAGATGGTACCTGGCAGGGGTCATTAGGGGTAGAGGGAACAGGCCATGGCCTGGGAAAACCTGGATGTTCAGCCAACATGGAGAAGCCGTGCAGCGCGTGAGCTCCTGCTCCTGGCAGGTGGCACATTGAGCAGATGCAGCTTTGAGTGGATGTCACGTCTTACTCTTAGTAGGAAAGCGGCATCCGCGAGACCCCAGTGGCCGAGCCTCCGTGGCCAGACTGTGTTCCTGGGGTAATGAGAGGGGCCCTCAGCAGGGGAGGGACCAGCCCGGCTCCTGAGGGAAGGTCCCGTCGCTGCCTTGGGGACTAGAGGGGCGAGGAGGAGCTGGGAGTCTGACCACCTGAGGGTAGTGCCAGCCTCTGGGTGGGAAGTGCAGGACCCAGCAAGGGCAGGCAGGGCAGGGGAGCGTGGGGCAGGTCAGGCAGGAACGCACTTTGAAGGCAGAGTTGGTATC